TTGGAGTGAGTGACATGTTTGGATGGAGAGGGTAAAAGGGAGTTGATTAATCCTCTAAGAAATTTTCATGAAAGAGTTGCAGTTTTGGCAGTTATTTGAAAGAGAACAAGATATGCATCTTGGCTATGAGAAATCACTGAGAATGGATTGGTTAATACTGAAGGCCGGTATTGGACTAAGTGCATAGTTGCTAGTGAAAGGACTTTTGCTCTTTTCTGTAATGAGTGAAAGTGAATGCTGACTATTCTCTAATCCATTTGTTACAGATTCTTTTGTGGTTTGTGGTTCTTGATTTAACTCTGATCTTTACTAAAGATTCATCATTCCTGTTTCCAGGAAGTACTTGCACTAAGCTGTCCCAAGATGGAACTTCCAGAAATCCCTATTATAACATGTCCTCTTTGTCTTTGAACTCCTTTGGTCAGGAAGTTCTGTTGGAGGGCTAATCCCTTCTATGGTATTTTTTTTTTAAATCAAAAACCATTTATTTAGCACTTACTATGTGCCAGGCACTGGGCTAAGCACTGGGAATACATCTACAGGTAGAAAGAAAGACAGTTTCTGCCCTCAAGGCGCTTACATTCTAACAGAGCAAGACAGCACATAAAAGGAAGCCGAAGGTGGAGGAAGAGATGAGGGTACGTGGCATAGGGACATTGTAGAAAAAGTCTGGGAGAGTGGGGTGTCCAGCCTGGAGAGAAATGAAGACGTAATTGGCCTGGACATGTTTCTTAAAATGGACAGTCCAGGAGGGACCAGCCAATCAGAGAGAGGCCACAAGGTAGAGAGATACTTCCAGTATGTGAAGTGCAGGGATAGAATGAGCTTCCAGAGTAGAGTGGCATGGTAGAGAAAGTCGGGAGAGACAGTTGTACAGCTTGGAGAGGAATGAAGATATTTTTGGCTTTTTAATCTATTTTTTCTGAGAGGGCAGTGGGGAAGAGAGCATTTGCTAATCATGGCTATAATATTCCTTGGGATGCTTGAGATTTATTCAGGCATTCTTCTTTCCAGATTAACCAGCAGCTTTCCCCAGTGTGCACTCTCTCTATCTTCCTCTCTCTCTCTCCCCCTCCCTCTCTCCCTCCCTCATATATATATGTATATATATATATATATATATACATACAACACAAACATATACATAAATATATATATATGTACACACATATACATATATTAGCGTTTCTTAGAAAATGGAAAAATAAGAGTGAGGTAAGAAGGGACAACACTTGTTTCTAGGAGACTGATTTCCCCAATCACTGTAGAACCATCTCAGCCAGAGGTGGGGACCCTGTGGCCTTCTAGGTCCTTGGGTGCAGTCTTTTGACTGAATCTAAGTTTTACAGAACAAATCTTTTTATTAAGGGGATTTGTTCTGTGAAGTTTGGATTCAGTGAAAGGGTCGCACTTGAGAACCTAGAGGGCCACTTGTAGCCTCAAGGCCACAGGTTCCCCGCCCCTGATTCTAAACTTAGATGTCATAATATACATCTGGGTAGATTTTTCAGAGGAAAAGTCTGTCTCTGCCCTCACCTTCTTTCACCCCTCCTCTCCATCTCCTCTCCTTCCTCCTTTCCTTCTCTTATCTCTCTCCCCTCTCCTTCCTTTCTGTCTTCTGTCTTCTTCCTTCTTTCTCTCTCTCTATATATGTATGTATATGTATTTACCTATATTTCAAAATGACGTAACTGTGTGTGCCATGACTCATGGTGGTGGATCCCAAGTGTGCACTCATCACTGAAAGGATCACTGCAAATTTTCTAAACATTTTTTTTCCCCCTATTCTGTCCTTCTTCGAAGCCATGGATATTCTCTCCTCAGATTGTATTCCTTGTGGCTTTGGCATATGGGTGACCTAGAACCATTATTTAGAAAATTTGAAAAATCTGTCTGGGATTGCGGTTTGACAGATTTTCATAACTATCCATGACTACAAAGATCTTTGGTTGCATCATTTGAGATCATGTTTCAGGGCATCCTTAAAGTATTTCTTCTTCACAAGATCTCCCCTGTTTCAACTTAGCAATGGTTGCTTGGATGGCATATGGTTTTTATAACTGAAACTTTCTACTGAGGAAATCTGTATTTGATCCCTTATGTATTTTCTTTCTTTCTTTCTTTCTTTCTTTCCTTCTTTCTTTCTTTCTTTC